AAAAAAAAAAAAAAAAAAAAAGAGGAAGGGTGGACTGCCTGCACTGCTGGCCCACCATAGGGGGTATTGGCAGGGGTGGGACAGCTGAGGCTGGGCAGCCAGCCAGGGCAGAGGTGAAGGGCCTTGTGGTCAATGCTGGTGAGTTGTGACTTTACTCTGATCGTTTAGGACACGCAGGGGTTGTTTAGGGGGCAAGCCTGGTGATGTCTGGAGGCTGGATAGAAAGTAGGAGAGCTTGGAGGCAGAAGGTCAGTTAGGAGGCATATGCAGGAGAGCACACATGAGCTCTGAGATGTTGGGCTAGAGGAAAAGCTGTTAGTGTCCATGGTTCTGAACTTGTCCCAAGTCACCTCTCCCTTTCCTCCCCACTCTCCTGCATCCTCTTCTGCCACCATCACCACCATGTGGCTCCTTATCCTCCAAATCCCCTCCACTGTCACCCATTGCTCTCACCTCACCAGTGTACAACCTTCCTCCACCCAGACTGCACAGGTGCCTGTAGTGTGGCCCCCTACCATGGCCAACATCACTCCCACCAGCAGGACTGGGCATAAACCCGACCAGGCTGCACAGGGTTTGGGTGCTGTGACTTGGTTGAGGATCACAGGGTCTGACTTACAGCTCTCCCACCTTTGCCTTGCAGTGTACTATCACTCTACAGGTAGCCCACATGACCAACCAAGACATCGAGAAGACAGGTATGTCCTTTCCTGGGGCTTACTCCTGCCCTCCTCCAAGCAGAGCTGGATGGGCTCTTTGGGATCTTTGAGACCCAGCCCTTGAGGCCTACAGAAGGAATGTGACTAGGTTAGGGTCCCTGGAAGCTACAGGGGGCTAGAGACCAGATCTCCAGACGTCTGGCTGAGGCCACCCCAATATGTCCACTCATCATCTCTAGACATAAGACCCATAAGATATAAGACATAAGCCTCCGATGGGCTGCAGAGGGAGACAAGGATGGTCATTTCCAAGAGCTCTAGTGTGTAGAGAATGGGGTCCAGGGGTCCACAGTTACTGAAGGTGGGAGGGGCCTGTGGGGATGTACCGGGGAGCACGTGTACTGCTATCGGGGCCTCTTGGGGTGCTTTTAGCCAGGAGCTGGGCATTGGGGAAAGAACGATGAAATGGGGGAAATGCCCCCAAACCTCCTGAGCCCTGGGGGCTCTGAGCTCACCCGGACTGTGTTTCCCTAGGAGTTGAAGACTACCTGGGCATAACGACAAGGGAGACGGCCAAGCAGAAAGTGCCACTTCCCAGCTCTGCCATGCAGAGGGCTCTGTGCTCAAAGCCTCAGCACTTCCAGGTGAGGACTCTTCAGGTTGAAAGTCCATGTGATCCACCTGACACCCTTGCTGTGTTCTCAGGCCATCTCCTCCTCTCCGTAGGTCACGGTAGAAGGGCAGAGCTTCAGATCCAGCTTCAGGTCCTCAGACCCTCACCACATCCCCTGCTCCTCCAGGGGCCATTCTGGGGAACTTCTGCCTGTGGCTGAAGCTAGAAGCAGTTCCAGCGAGGCCTGGCTGTGCACCCGCAGGCCCTGGTAGATGCCAAGAGGGCAGTGCCAAAAGCAAGGATCCCACCCTTCCACAGTCCTCAGATTGTTGGCAAAACAAGGCGAGGCACATGCAAAGTTCAATTAACCATACAGGAGAGGCTCAGAAGTGTGGGCGACCTATGGGAAGGTCCACGGTTCAGTGTGAATTTGGAAACCCTCATCCCATGGCTTACCAACTTCCCTCTGCTCTCTGGCCTGGGTCCTGACATTCCAGCCATGGTTTTGCCTGCTTCCCAGCCTGCTGCTTGCCCAGGAGACTGGGGATCTCCTTGACTGCCCTCTTCCTATATCTTAGCTGGATGCCAAGTCCTAGCTCTTAATGTCACCAACTGCCCCCACCTCTCCCTTGCCACTTCCGTTCCCTGGCCCGAGCCACCACTGTTGCTTCCCTGGACCACATCAATTGCCTCCTCCTGAACTCCTGGCCTCCAGCTGTCTCCTGTCCATTCTTCAGCCAAAGAGGTCATGCTCATCACGCCACGCACTTGCTTAAAAAGCCCCAGTGTTCTCGGGGCAAAACCCAGCTCCTTACACCAGCTGCCTGGGCCCTTGACAACCTGAGTCTGCCTCTCCAAGTCTACCTCTTCCATGCCTTCTCCCATGGGTTCTCTCTCTATCCACAGTGGCTAGAATGTTTCTTATCAGACATTTGTTCTTGAGGGAAGAGTCCCTGCTGGAGAATTGGGGCCAAGGTGTTCTCCTCTGTAGGTTCGAGTGAGAGTGTTTGAAGGCCGACAGCTCGTGGGCAACAACATCAAGCCAGTGGTGAAGCTGTCCATCGGAGGCCAGCAGCAGCAGACCCGGATCAAGATGGGAAACAACCCTTTCTTCAATGAGGTGGGCAGAATGGGCACAGCAGGCAAGCGGGCCCGCCGGGGGCTGGGCATCTCCTGCCGGCAGCCAGCAAGCTTGCGTCTTCACTCACGTGTCTTCACTTGTGTGCTCCACAAGCACTTACTCAGCACCTACTGAGGGCCAAGCACTGTGTCTGGCACTGGAAATGAGGATGGGATCATTCAGAGCCCTGCATTTGAAGAGCTGGTGGTCTGGTAGGGGCACAGCATGTGAATGCATAAGCAATTACAACGGGGCAGACTGGGGTGGACGCAGGTCTGGGAGCACTGTTAATGGAGCCATGAAAGCAGGCCCAGACCACCTACATCCCATCACTGCTGGAGCCCCAAATTGTAGCACTGTGTCTGGAATACAGTAGGCGCTTCAAGTACTTGTTGAATTAATTGGTACATAGACGAACAAATAAAGGATGAGCACAATGGCAACTGGGAGGAGTGAGTAATGAGGGTGGGGCAGGGGAGAGGACTCAGAAAAGACTCCAGAAACCTTGAAGGAAGAGTTTACCAGGGAAAGATGGCAGGATGGGAAAAAATAATTCAGGAAAAAGGAACAGTGTTTTCAAAGTGAGAAGTAGCGTGATTGATGGCAGGACTATAAATATGGGTGTGGCTGGAGGGGACTGGCTGGAGGTGAGCCTACAATGTGGGCTGGGGTCTCATCATGGATGGCACTCGGGAACCCTGGAGGACTTCAGCAGGAGAGGGACAGGCCTAGGTTTGCATTTGGGAAAGGAGGTTCTGGCTGCCACAGGGAGTAGGTGTGGAATGGACTGGTAGAGTAATCTAGAAGGAGGTGGATGCTCAAATCTCCATCCTGGACAGCTAGCTGGGCCTTGGGCTGCTAGGTTCTCCAGGGATTCCTTACCCCTCCCTTTCTGGACAAAAAACTCTCCAGGAGCCTCGGAGGCACCTGAGAGTGATAGTACAGGTCAAGTATCCCTTATCCAAAATGCTTGGGACCAGAAGTGTTTCAGATTTCAGATTTTTTCAGATTTTGGAGTATTTGCATTATATGGATTCGGCAACCCTAATCTAAAAGTCTGAAATCCAAAATGCTCCAATGAGCATTTCCTTTGAGCATCGTGTCAGCACTCAGATTTTGGAGCATTTCAGATTTCAGATTTTCAGGTTAAGGGTTCTCAACCTATACTCATAAAGTCATTGAAATGGGCAAAGAAGCACATTATTCTGAGCCTTCAGGTCTACTGAGTCCCTGGGTGAAGTAGTAGAAGAAACATCATCTCCCCCTACCCCAATTTTCTCTGTCTCAGCTCTTCTTCCAGAATTTTCACGAGATTCCTGCGAAGTTCTTCGATGAAATCATCTTAATCCAGGTGAGGGGCCAAACTGGTCCCCGGCATTATGGGCCCACTTTCTTGTCCCACCCCAATACTGGGAAGCATTTCAGCCCCCAGTCCTGAGCCTCAGAACCAGGGTCACCCCAGATTGTCTTTATGACCCCAAAGCAGCATCTCCATCTTTCTTCACCCCCTGGTACCCCAGATTCTTCATTCATTCAACAAACATTATGGAGTGAAAACTGCCAGGCCCTAAACAAGGCACTGAAGCGAGCATGGCAGCCCTTCCTACATGCCAGGATTTTCCTGCCACCAAAGACCCCTCAGAGTGGATACTCCATTCCCTGGCTAGAGGGAACCCAGTAACAATGGTGAACGTGTGTTTATCAGGTGCCTGCTATGTGCCCAGCACAGGGCTAAGGAGAACAAGGAGGCCTCTTCCTTTGAAGAATTTACATGTTCTTGGGAACACAGGCACAGAGGAAACCACCAGGACATGTAATGGATAAAGTTGAGTGCAACACCTTGCTTTGTGTTGACTCCAGAGAGGGGCAAGTGAATTGCCCTCTCTGATCAATTTCCTCACCAGTAAAATGGAACTAAAAATCTAAACCCCACAGGGTTCCTCTCAGAATTAAATGAGAAAACCTGTGTGCAAATGTCAGCCATTAGGAAGCATTCAGGAAATTCTGGAGGATCCTGGATGTGTCCTTACTATTCATCCTGTGGGGGGTGAGGGAAATTGGGACTGTGAATAATTAAGATGTTTCTGGAAACTCCCTTCTAGGTGGTGAACTCCGCAGTGATGAGATACAAAGCAGAGATTGGGAGATTCCAAGTGAGCACTGTATAAGGGAACAGGTTTGGTGAAACAATTATAGAGACCCATGCTGGGCACCATGCCCAAGTCTAGGGGAAAGGCTTAGATTTTCAAAGATCTAGACTTGGATCCACCTACCAACTGAGTGATTTAAACAAGTTACTCTGAGCCTCTCCTTCCTCATCTGTAAAATGGGGATAATAATATACCCAACCCATAGGGTCATTGTGAGAATTAAAGTACATAACATTTATGAAAGTGCTGGGTGTCCTGTTGAATTCCCCTCATCCATAATACTGTGGACACAGTTCAAATCTTTGCCTCCAGGAAATGGAAGCAGAGCATCCAAAAAGGCCAACCTAAGTATTAGAGAAACCCAGAGAAAGATTGTTTCCTGTGAAGACAAAGTGAAAAGATGTGATTTGGAAAGACACAGGCTGAGAGATGAGAGTTTCCGCAGTCATGATGGACTAAACTATGATTCTCCAAATCCAGGAAGATCAGGAAAAGGTAGGTTGCCAGATTAAATACAGGATTCCCAGTTACATTTGAAACTTAGATAAAAAATACTTTTAATATATAATTATGTCCCAAATATTGTATGGCTCTTCACCAAATATTGTAGGGACATAAGTATACTAACAAAGTAGTTGTTTATCAAAAATTCAAATTTAAGTGGGCATCCTGGTTTTTTTATCTACTAAATCTGGCAACCTTAGCAAAGGGGCACCACCCTTGGGAAAGGCAAAGTTAGGACAAATCGAAGTAAGGTTTTTTTCTCACTACTTATTGTAATGACATGAAGAGTCATGATCTGCCCTTACCCCATTTCATCCACAGAAGGGTTCACTTTGCCTGCCTGCAGTGGAAAGCCAAACACCGAAGCACCGAGTCCTCGCAGAGAGTCAGACTCAAATCTGTCTCCTGGAGTTGGGGGTTGGTCAGGTTTTATAGTCAGAGTGTAATGAGGCATGATCTGATTGGATCTTCTGTTGGGGTGAAGTCCTGGTTGAATCTGACTGGATCCTGGATCCTGCAGTGTCCGGTTCTTAATTCGGTCCCTGCTACTCAGTCTGAGCACTTAGGTTCCGCCCATGATTTCACACTTGGTTCATCTGGGTAAGCTTAGAAAGTTAGAGGGACCTTCAACATGGGGGACCATGGCAACTGAAATACAACTCACAACTTTGTTACATAAAAGTTGAACCAGATTGTTCTGATGTGGTTACAGAAGCCGTCCAGGTTAGAAATTAAGACCTAGAGTGGTTAAGTGGACATTGTGGTACATGCCTATAGTTTCAGCTACTAGGGGAGGCTAAGAAGGGAGGATCACTTGAGCCAGGAGTTTGAGTCCAGCCTGGGCAACATGGCGAGACCCTGTCTCTAGAGAAGAAAAGAAAAGATTCTAGAGAGGTTAGATGACAAGAGGTAAAAAAATGTTGTGCTTTCGACAAAGGCCACTGCACAATTTCCAGACAATGACCAAAAACATAAACTGTTGAATAAGTTGTAGAGGTCAGAGAAAACCTGAGCTTTGCTTAGTTAATTTTTAAAATATTAGGTATCGTATTATTTTTTATTTTGGAAAATTCCAAGCATACATAAAATTGGAAAAAATAATATCATGAGCTCCCACATCCTCATCACTCAGCTTCATCGATTCATAGTGAATCGTGTTTTGCCTACACTCAGCCTCCTTCCCCTTCTCCACTGGATTATTTTGCATCAAATCTCAAGCATCATATCGTTTTATCTTTAAATATTTCAGTACATATCTCTAAAACATAAATATTTTTATTAAGCATAACCACAATACAATTATCACATCTAAACCTTTATAATTCCTGAATAGCATTAACTATCTCGTCAGTGTTCAAATTCCCCTAATTATCTTACAAATTTATTTTAGTTTGTTCAAATGAGGATCCAAACCAGGTTCATTCACTACAGTTGGTTAATATGCATTTTAAGTCTTTTTTATTCTGTTGATCCTCTCTGCCTTTTTTTTTTAACTTGTAGTCTATTTGTTAAGGAAACTGGCTAGTTGGACCTGTATAGCATTTTCCCCAGTCTGGATTTTGCTGATTTCATCTCCAGGGGATCATTTTGCATGCCCCCCCTCCCTTTTTCCCATCTAGAGCCTAGATCAGACTTGGGTCAATTATTTGGCAAAGTGACTTCAGCAGAAGGCACAGAATGTAGGTTGGGCTCTCTTTTTATGTTGTTAACAACTACTGATGGCCACTGCCTAGATCTGTTGCTTCATTTGGAGCGTCTGAGATTTTATTCTACGTTGTTTTTCTGCAGCTTTATTGAAGTACAATTGATGTACAATGAATTGCACATATTTAAAATATACAATTTGATACATTTAAAAATATGTACACACTCATGAAACCAACATCACAATCAAAATAATGAATATATCTATCACATCTGTCACTCCCAAATGTTGCCTTGTGCCCTTGATAATCCCTCCCTAGCATTCCTATCCAGCCCCCTTCCAGGTACCCACTGATCTGCTTTCTTTCACTATAGATCAGCTTGCATTTCCTGGAGTTTCATATAAATGGAATCATACAGTATGTGCCCTTTATGGTCTGGCTTCTTTCACTCAGCATAATTATTCTAAGATTCATCCGTGTTGCTGTGTGTATCAGTAGTTCATTCCCTTTTATTGCCGGATGCTATTCCATTGCATGGATGCACCACAGTTGGCTTCTTCATCCTTTGCTGATGGACATTTAGATAGTGTCCAGGTTTTGGCTATTACAACGAAGTTGTGTAGGCATTTGTGTCCAATCTTAGTGTGGACATAGACTTTCATTTTTCTTGATTAAATATGTAGAAGCAGAATGACTAAATTGTGTGGTAGATCTATGTTTAACTTTTTAAAGAAAATTCCTAACAGTTTTTCCCCCAAAATTCCAAACAGGTACCATTTTTATATGCCCAGCAGTGTACTAGAGTTTCAATTGCTCCACAGTCTCAGCAACACTTGATATAGTCCTTCTTTTTTATTTTAGCCATTCGAAGGTATGTGGGGGTATCTTGTTATGATTTTAATTTACACTTCCCTGATGACTGATGATGTTGAGTATCTTTTCATGTGCTTGTCATCTGTCTTCTTTGGTGAAGTGTCTGTTCAAATCTTTTGCTCATTTCCATTGGGTTGTTTTCTAACTATTGGTATATGATTTGCAAATATTTTCTCCTGGTATATGACTAACCTTTCATTTTCTTAACTGTCTTTCTTTTTTTTTTGAGACAGAGTCTCACTCTGTTGCCCGGACTAGAGTGCCATGGCATCAGCCTAGCTCACAGCAACTTCAAACTCCTGGGCTCAAGCAATCCTTCTGCCTCAGCCTCCCGAGTAGCTGGGACTA